CTTCTGTAACTGATGCTTACTTTTTCATACCTGTGTCAGGCACTGTACCAAGTTCTTTACATGTGTTACTCCGTTTAATACTTTCAGCACTCCGGAGGTGGATTCTCTTGTCTTTTCCACTTAGAGTTGATAGTGAGACACATAGAGAAGATGGGTAATTTGCAGCACAGGTTTAAGTTGGATTATGTGAGATTATTGATTTTTCATGTCACAGATGGTTTAATCTACTAAGCTAAACTACCTTTCTTTTTTCATTAAGAAGTAGGGAACCATATTAAGCTTTTATGAATATAATTTTAAAATTTAGTTTAAGTGCACTGTTTCAGATAAATTGAAGGAGAAGAGTCTGAATGATAGAATGCTGTAGAGGGTGTGTAATTTCATTACTCTGTGTTTAATATTCTTGAATGCAGTTTTAAATTTTATGTTTAAGAAGTACATAGATAAAGTAAGTGTTAAATAGGATAAAATGTTACACAGTGAAAAGTTAAGTACTGTTCCGTGGAAGTGATTACTATTAATGATTTCTTGCAGAACTTTCCAGAGATATTTGTTGTGTGTACCCACATTAACACCCTCCCATTTAGTTATACACAGAATGAACAAACTATACACACTTTTTCACCTTGTTGTATTGTAAATATACCACATAAGCGTATATAAAATCTTTTCTTTTTTTAATGACTGAAATATTCCATTATGTGAATGTGTCATAATTTATTAAACCAGACTCCTACTAATGTATGTTTAGATTATTTCCTGGTTTTACTTCTACCAATTTGACCGCAGTAACTGTTCTCATAATTATCTCTTTCTGTGAGTGTTTCTGTAGGTTAGTTGCCTAAAGTGAAACAACTGGATCAAAGGATATGTGCATTTTTTTATTTTGAGAGATACTGCAGATGTCAGAGATTTTTGCCAGTTTTTACTCCCATTAAAAACATATGGGAGTCTCTTTTCCTGTATCTTCCCCAGCACAGCATTTTACCAAGTTTTATGATCTATGCTAATCTGAAAGATGAAAAGTGGTATTTTGTAGTTATTTTAATTTGCGTTTTTAAACTGTGAGTAAAGTTGAGCATCTCTTTATATGTTAAAAATTGCCTGTATTTTCTTTCCTTTTGAACTGTCTATTCATATCTTTAGCCTTTTTTCCCCAGTTAGATTACTGATTTTTTTCCATACTGACTTATAGGTGTTCTTTCTATATTAAGGAAGATAATCTCTTGATGTATGTGCTATAAATGGTTTTTCCCCAGTCCGACATTTACATTTTGTCTTTGTTTATAGCATTACATTGGTGACAGATTTTCAACATTCTTCTGTAATAAAATTTATCAGTGTTTTCTTTTAAGGTATCTATGACTTAGAAGGACCTTTTTTAGTTCAAAGATTATAAAAATATTTTCCCATATTTTCTTCTACTGTTTTTATGGTTTCACTCTTTTTGTATGTAATCACATTTCTGATCTATCAGAAACTTATTTATTATTAGGAGTTAAGTAGGGATGCAACTTTTGTTTTTTCCCAGAAGAATATCTGGTTGTCACATTAGTTACTTTAAAAACAAACAAACAAACAAAAAGCAGTCTTTTTCTTACTGATTTAAAAATGCAACCTATATCATTATATTAAATTCTCACAAGTCTTTGGATCTAGTTTTGGATTCTGTTCTGTTTCATTAACTGATGTGTCTAATCATGTGCCATTGCCAAACTCTTAATTATTATAGCTATATAATTGTTTTAATATTTGGTAGGCCTTGTTGCCCCCACCTTTCCTCTTTTTCAGAATTTTCCTGGCTATTCTTGCATGTTTGTTGTTCCATGTGAAATTTGAAATCAGCTTGTCTCTTTCCCAAAAATGTCCTGTTGCCACTTTTTATTGGGATAGTATTAAATTTATAGACTAATTTTGAAAGAATTGACACCTTTACAGTATTGAGTCTTCCTGTCCAATAACAGAGTATGTTTTTCCATTTTATTTAAGTCTTCTTTTATGTCTTTCAGTGTGTTTTAAAATTTCCTTGATTAGGTCTTGATGTTACCAAGTTTATTCCTGGATACTTTATTTTTGTGAATAGCATCTTCTGTATTTTCTGGCTCATTGTTTGTATATGGGAAGGTTATTGGTTTTTATATAGTTGTCTTATAATCTGCCAACTTGCTGAATTCTTATTCCTAGTCATTCACCAGATTTTCCCTTATTCTAGGGACATGTAATTGTATCTGAAATTGATAAGGATTTTGTCCTTTTCCTTGTAATTTTGTATGTCTTATTTCTTTCTCTTGTTTAATAAATCTGCTAGTACTGTCAGAACAGTGCTAAAAATACTAGTGCTGATTGTGGGCATTCCATGATGTTGGTTCTTGGCTTGAGGTTTATATTTATCATGTAAAGGTGGTAGCTGGCCATGTTATAAGAATTATCTTTCTAGATGATCATTTACTTTTTCCTCTTTTATCTATGGCTATGATGAGTTATAATAATAGATTTGTTACTATTGAACTATCCTTGCCTTTCCAATATGAATCTCACTCAAGTCATGGTATACTATATATTCTAACACTGACTTGAGTTCCAGTTTAAAAAGAAAAATGCATGGAATTAATTCATCAGTTGTTGGTATATTCTTGCTTTATGATATGATGATCTTGAAAGCAGCTGTAAATTGTATGGTATTACTTAAATGTGAATCACTGAACTGACCTTATTATTAGCACACTGCCTGTCAAAATAATAAGTACTCCATCTTGACTGACTTCAAACAGATCTGAAATTTGTTCTTTAGAATTCTTCCTTCAGTTTTAGCAAATTTCATGTTGAAAATATTTTTTAAAAAAAAATCTGACCCAGACCCTCCCATATTATGAAATAACCATTGTGTGAAATAATGAGACTTGACTATTATTATTATCATCAGAGAGATACTTATGCTAATATATAATACATCTTCCCATTCATTTTGGTTTTACTCACCGGTTTTCCTTTCCAGGAATGTCTGAATCTGAGCAGGCTCTTAAAGGTACTTCTCAAATCAAGTTACTCTCATCTGAAGATATAGAAGGGATGCGACTCGTATGTAGGGTAAGAATTTTTTCCCATGGGACAGGACATGTTTAAGCAGTTATGAGACATAAAGTCAATAATTTACTCATTTACTTACAAAGGTAGCAAATGTTACATTATAAGACTGTAAGTAGTCACACTTTTCATTAAACTTTTGTTAGAATGTAATTTTATGCAGTAATTGTTTTCTACTTAAGTAGCTTATTTGAAAATTAATATGGCAGGTAATATATATTTAGTTGACAGTTTATTTCCTTTACCCTCCCCCCCTTTTTTTAGAGAACCAGGTTTTTATAGTATTTTGTCATTTTATTTTCATGAGTCATCTTAACATAGGGTAAAGTTTAAGGTTTATATAAAGTTAAGCTAAAGCTCCTGCTGTGAAATACCTGTGAAATATGATAGTGTAGTGGCTGGAACTTATTAAGTGAAATCACATGTTTATATTTTTCTAAGGAAAAATAATTGTTACATTATGTTGTTTATTTAGATGTAGTCCTTAAAGTTTTTATTCAGTGTTTAAAAATGATTTTATTCATTGTTTAAAAGTAGTTTTCTTTGATAATTTGGGGAAA